CATAATCTTATCATATCATACCAAATATTTTTAACTTTAAAATTGACTTTCATTATTAAAAACTCTTTACCTAAATTTACCACAATACTTAATAAATAGAAGTAGAGTCATTTAAAGTTAAATCTTAATATCCCATGCCATGTTAAATTATTATTATTTTTAAATATAATTACTTAAGGACAAAAAAAAATTATTTAACTCCTTTTTAAAATAAATTTTTTCTTTCCCCCAAACTTTAGTTTTTTAGTGATTTTAAAATTGTTTTTAATATAAAATTTAATAGGTGAAAGAAAACAATAACTGCATGAAAAATAAAAACAGACCTGTAGAGGATTTCTAACTATGAAACTAGGCTTTAGTATACTGCATGTACTAACTATAAAATTATATACAGACTTTAAAGCATTAAATAAAACATACTATATTCTAGAGAACTTGCTGAGAATTAGGATTCATTGAAAATGCAATCGCTTCCTCCAGTGATGAATCAGTTATCACAAATGTAGCGTATTCATTGAAAAATACACCCTTTAAACCATAAAAAGTATTGATATGATCAGCAGTAAATTCAACTTGATTACCTATAATTAGGATGTGATCTTCAGTAGTGAATCTCAGGTTTGCATAAAACTCCCAAACCATTGGGCATAAAACTCCCAAACCATTCTCCCAAACCATTGGGACAATTGCTACTGCAGTGAAGTAGCAAAATCTTTCCCAATTCCTGACAAGAATTAGTTTCTCGACCTCGCCACCCGATTTTGCAAACACCCGCTCTTGGATCATTCTATTGGTCTCCATATGATATTGTAACTATGTTGGGCTTTGAACCTAACAAATCTTCGCGCATCAAAGTCCTCGGATGACCTTCCTCTCTTAACTCGGGGAGCCATTTGAAAATTTTATGAAAATCCAAATATAGTCCAAATAAATTACTAAATAAAAAATCTAACTCCTCAAGCAATGTTATTTAGTAAGAAACTTTTCACCATGAGTTTTCTTCAAATATTTTCATCAAAAATCCCAATTTTTGGATCTCCCAAAATCCATTGTGAAAATAAAAATTTTCTAAGTTGAAGTGAAGCTCTTATCAGGAGAAGATGAAATCTATAGTTTTTAGCCTCTGAAACCTTCTCTTTCTCCCATAATGTGATGCCCTAGACCAAGGTCTTGAGGTAGAAGATGACTCAAGTAGTGAAAATGGAGTTTGTCTGTGCGATTTTGTGGTTTTCTAGGAAATATAGAATGTTCAAACCTTTGGCGCATCATGCGCCAAGGCTCTGTAAGTTGGCACATCATGTGTCAATCTGGTGCATCATGCACCAGGGCTCAAATTTTCCACATTTCGGTTTCTGTGAAAATCTGCTCCGTACCACTTTACACCAACCTCTATTTGACTAAAATAAACCTTTCTATATATACACAACACACACACACACACACACACACACACACACACACACACACACACACACACACACACACACACATATATATAATTTGTGATATTACAAACTAACATTTTTCAAGCCAACAAACATTAAATTCAGTGACCATGCTCCATAGATGACATTCATCACAGAGCACCAACGTCGGTTGCCACTGTTGCATGCTGCTAGCAGCCACCCTATCTACTATAACGTTGGTCACTGCTTGCCAATGCATTAATTTTTAAATACTTTGACATATGTTGCTTTCGTTTTACTTCAAACTAACAAAATAATGAAGTCGTCCATTTATGCTACAATGAATAGGACTTTAAATGAACAAATACACTCGATGAACAACTTAAACTTGACTTAATTAATGCTAGATCTTGTTCCTTTCAAATTAGTAAATAAACAAACTTGAACATTTTTTGAAATCTCAAAACTCAAACAAACTGAACATAAACATTGTCAAACTTTGTTCATATCGTTCAACAATTAACTTGTTAAATACTCGATATTAAACTCGATAATAACTTGTATTATATATATAATATATTATTTAAATAAATTTTATTTTGTTAAATTTTATTTAATTATAGACTTAATAATAATATATTATTTTATCAATAATATGTTTAGTTTAATTATTAAATATATATTTATTTTATTAATAAGTAAATAGTAATTTAAAATAAGGTATTTACAACTAAAGAGAGTATCATAAATGATTTTTCTTGTTGAATCATCATAATCTTGAATTTAAAGAGTTAATTTTTTTTTACTATCACACTGTAATTACTAACAACATTAATGTGGATTATCTTATTGCTATTATTTTTTTATTAATATAATTAAGTAAATGCTCATTCTTATAACTTTCAGGATCTATTTAATTCTTCCACTTAAAAATTTAAACCAGTGTTGTCCTATCAATAAGAATTATGTTGCTAATTAATAAATTTCAAAAATTTTAGAGTTCATAATCAATAAATTAGTATTTGCGATTAAATTACAAAACTATTTATTAAAATTTATATATGAAAATCTAAATTCTCCTTTGAATTTTTAGCTCATTTATTAGTTCGTTTAAATACTCGATCACTTATCATAAACAAATCAAGCTCAAACATCGAGAAAATTTAAAAAAATCAAGCTTGAATAATGTATGAAAGCTCTACACAAGCTCGAGTTGAACATAACCAACTTATAATTATACCAAGCCGAGTTCGAACAATGCTGCACTCGGGTCTGCTTGCTCGATTAAAACCTTAACTGTGAACCAGATAATACAAAAATATTTCAAATACAATGCATTATCTTTGCATTACATTCATTTCATATTGTATTATTTTCTGAGCCGATCACAAAATATTGATCGAAATTGATTTCACTTTTGAGGACATCTATTTATTTTGATAATTAGTCAAATCAAATTAAATCATATTATATTTAAATTCAAAATTATCAATTTTAATTTTAATAAGAATTTTATTTATCAAATTAAATATAATCCAGAGAGCTTCAAAATATTAAAATTAAATTATATATATATATATATATATAATTAATGAATTTATTTACAATGCAAATGAAGGAAACATAATAGATCAACGAGTAGTGAACGGAAGTGGTGGTGGCAGCTAACGGCGATGACAAATGGTAGAAAAAGACTTGTTACAATGATGAATAGAATATAAATTAATGAGAATTCGCGTACGTTCTTTGCTACTCGCGTTCAACTGGTTTCGCCCAAAACCATCGACTTTGTGACGGAGACCCACCGAAACTCTCTTCGTTCTTCTACTTTCGCTCTGCTCCTACTCACAACCATGGAGAAAGTGAGTGCAGGAAAGAATCCGGATTTATGAAATCTGGGACTTTATTTTGTACAAACCGACCGTCCACAAGGATTTAGGTCAAATCCTGCTCTAAATCCGTTAAAACACAACCCCTTTATTTCTGTTTTTTGATTTGATTGGGTTTATCAATTCCAAGCTCAATTCTGGAAGTTGAAGTCGTAGGAAGTGCCCGTTTAAGTGCCTCGGCATTTTTAAAAATGGCGCGGCACCAATTATTTTGCAAGTGTGCTTGTAGTAAAATAACGTTCTTGATTTTAATGAAAACGCGATCGCGTTCCAGCATTCGTGCCCTATTTCCTCCGCCGAAGGAAGCCCTCTCGCGCAGCATTCGGGCCTAGCTCCTCCGCCGAAGGAAGCCGCTCCTCCCGCACTCCCCAATCGCCAGTGAGTCTGGTAAAGAAATCCCTATCCTCTTCTTTCTTCTTCACTCCTTTTTCTGAGATTCTCCTCTCCCGATCTTCTAGGTCAGCCCTAAATCGCGACTTCCGTGCGGCATTCCGCTAGAACGCGACTCCCCGTTGCCGCTCCCTGCTTCCGTTCGGCCTCACGCTCATCTTCGGTAAGCTCGGCAGGTATCATCTTCCGAGCCCTCTTCTTTGCAACTCCACTGTCCACAGCCATTTCTTCCTTTTCTTCTCATCTCGACAGACATTTCTACAGCATTTTTTCCTCTTCGTCTTCTGCATTATTAGCTTGATAAATGTTCAAAGCTGATGACTTTGGACCTTGTGTGGTATCGTTTTGGGGGATCTATATTACTTTCAATTATTCATTTTTCTAATGTACGCCATCAGAAGTGAAATATGCAAATACAATGGACTTAATGTTGCATTTAAGGTTGTGCAAATCATGACATATATCTTTAAGAGACCTAAACTGTCTTCTCTATATATAAGAGTTGTACGTATAATAATTTGTACCCATTATATTCCACATTTGAGTCTTAAATTTGTGAACTTGGAGCCTGTTTGGAATTATTTTTATCTTTGGTTTTTTTTTAATTTTTTTATTTAGAAAATGTGGTTGTTTAGTGTATTTTCTAAGCATATTTTATTTTATTTTATTTTTAATAGAGATTGGTACTGTTTTTCTTAAAGAGATTAGTATTGCATATTAGATCATTCTCAATGGCACCGAAAAATAAGTCTTAGTTTAATAGAAATATTTGTGACTGATAGTAGACGTACAATCGCTTCACATTAAAACATAATTTTAAGATCTCATACATAATTTTTTTTCAAACTCCAATTCTAATCATTGTGTGTCTATGCATTTTAAGCTTATGAATATAATCTAGTACAGGCTCACATTCAGTTTTAAAAGCATTAGATATAGATTCATATTATAGCTTTAAATCAATTTTGACTTCACCTTGTCATGAGTTTCTATTTGACTTATGTAAATTACTTTTAGAATAGTTTTTACAAACGTTGGTTATGAATAACTTCAATGATTCATAATTTTATAATATCATCATTGAGAAAACTATGCATGTGATTGGAGCACTCTCAAATTAGTAATATTGATATTAATGTAAGGCATATAAGCATATTCATTTATTTATGTCTATGTGGATTCATAAAAACAATGTGTAAATATTTTCTTATTTGATGTTTTGGAATTTTTTTTATTTGGCTAACTATCTTTTATGTTGATTAGTTTTTGAGTATATATGATAACATTTCATAAAAAAATATTATACAGTTGATACTTTCAAGCTAGCCTCCAATCCAAAGTTGAGCTGCAATGCAAGAGGCCGAGCGTTTGGTCCTCAGGTTCGCCATTTTCTCGCGGTTTTTCCTACTTTTTCTATTTCTCCTACTATCTCTGATCATCACATGGAGATTTCTCTTCCCGCCCTACGATTCTTCAGCTCAACTTAACCCTAGCTGCCTCTCATCTTCTTCCAATGTCGATGATCTCTCGCATTTGGCGGAAGCTGATCGAGTACTGTGGCCGAGGATTAGGGCCTTGATAGAGGGAAGTGTTGTGTGGGACGGCGTCTACTTTGTCCGGATTGCAGAGTGTGGTTATGAGTACGAGCAGACCTATGCTTTCCTGCCCCTCCTTCCTCTGTCCATCTCCTTGCTCTCTCGTTTCGGTTAGCGGATAATTCAATTGTTTTGTTTGCCCCTATTTTATTTTTTTTAACTAAGTTTTTAGATTTTTGATTTTTTGATAATGACAGTGGCTCTCTTGCAGTTTTCGCTCCTTTGATCCCTGTGATTGGATACAGAGCTGTACTGGTGCTATCGGGTTATGTTCTGAATAACATTGCGTTTATTCTTGCTGCCATTTATTTCTACAAGTAAGCTACGACTCTTGTTGCAGTTCTTTTCCTGCTTGAATACTATTATGTTATTGATCCTAGTGAATTTTACTTGAGATGAATGTTTTTGGGTTTAATTTAAGAAACATTAGTGTTTAGAAATACTCTTTGGGCGAAGCTTATCTATAGAGAAAAAAAAATTACTTTATAAAGAAATCAAAATGTTCCAATAAATTCTTTTATGATCGGGGTTCCAATATCTATTCCTTTTCTACAATAAACTCATACCCTTTCATTTGATTGCGATGTAAATTATCTATGCAATGGAGTGAAGTTTGTCTGGTTTTGGAATACTTCAATGGTTAGAGAAAATAATCTTAGATAGCCAAGAAATCTCTTTGCAAGTTTTGGAAAGATGTGATTGATTAAAAAAATAATTGTTATTTTGCACTGAGAATGTAAAGTTGGAGGAATTTTTTGTTTTCCTGTCGCGAAAAACTTGAATTATGGAGGAGAGTCAAAAGGTCTTCGTTTGAGTTGGTCTAAAACTGAATACGTGGAATGTCATTTTAATAGTAGTAGAGCCAGTAGTAGAGTTGTAACAATGGGTGTTCAAATATTAAAAGGTGTGAACGTTTTAGATATATAGGGTCTACTGTTCAAAATGATGGTGATATAGATGGGGATTTTATTAGTAGAATTTTAATTGGATCGTTGAAGTTGAGGAATGCGTCCGACCTATTGTGTGATAGAAAAGATGGTGGTGAGACCTACAATACTTTATGGCATAGAATGTTGACCTTTAAAAGAGAAACATAAAACTAAGTTAAGTGTTGCTGAGATGAAACTGTTTTGTTGGATGAATGACTTGATACTTAGAGACAAAATACGAAACGAATGTATTCGTGAAAGGGTTGGTGTAGCTCCAGTGGCAGACGAGATTAGGGAGTGTCGTCTTAGATGGTTTGGTCACATTAATCGTCCACCATCTGATGATCCAGTTAAGAGATTAGATGTTTTAGATTCGACTTATGTCGAGAAAGGTAGAGGGTAGACCTAAAAAGACTTGGGCACGTTGTATAAAAAATGATCTTAATTGTATGGTTTGGAGGTCATATGTTGAATTTGCAGAAATATCATCTCTTAAAATCTAAAGTTGTACATGAATAGTATTTTTTCGAGGGAAACTAAATAATGGATATAGCACTACTTGATGTTTTAGCTTTGCAGAAGCTTTTATATTCATGATTCAGGGATTCAATGGGTGTAAGCCCATTGGCTAGTTACCCATCTTGATCACGGAAAAGAAATATCAATTAAAAATATTTATAAAGGTCTATAGTAATTTTTGTGCCATGATAACTTCTCATTTTGTTTGACTTAATATGAAATTTTAATATTTAAAGTTTTGATTTTTTTAGTCTAAGGTGATGATTTTTGGATGATGATAATATCAGTTTATATCCAATTATTATGTCATTTTAAATTTGTTTAGAGTATAGAGTACCATTGTCTAACTAATTTGAGGAAAACAATATTTTGACGCATTGACTTAAGGATTTCTATCCATAATCATGAATATTCTTGATCAAGTTAATTTTATTGACATAGGATTGAAAGCTTGTAATTGAGGTCAAAGTTACAATAAACCTAGGCAAATGAAGGTGTTTTAAATTTCAGGGGCTTATTTGAGATGTACTCTTATGAAACATATATCATGACCTATTGGATTGCCCAAGAGGAATTGTCCATCATGTTATAGAAGTTTCTGGATTTGTTAGGGCTGTTGATTTTTATTTAGTAATATAATGATTGATTTTCTATTAAGCAAGAAATGCTTTGTTGGTAGTTTTCATTGAAGCATTCTCCCTCAGCCTTCTCTAAGTCATTAAGCCACAATCATTAATTGCTTTAAGTGCCAATATTATCATATTGGGCTTGAGTTTCATCCCTCAAGACAATTGCATGCACAATTTTATTCCGAGCGAGGTCTTGATCAACATCACTTTGCAACATGTTTGAGTTGGGTTTAAGATATACCATTACTTTGACAAAGGACATAAGATGCTGATACTTCTTGCTATTTTATCTTGTGTTGATCCTAAGCATAAATAAGGGCTTATTTTTTAGGGTATGTTTTCCCACGACTGTTAGCTTTGTCATATCCACTAGTCCATGATCTGTGTATTTATGAACTTTGTAGTGGTGAGCTTGATCTTTTGGAAAACAATGTTTTTTTCTTTGATAGTACTTGAAATGATGTTTATTGGATTTTTTGCGGTTGCAGAAACCTCAACATTTGGTAACCGAGATATTTCGCCTATAGGAATAATACATGATTGGATTTGCTTTCATATATGGGCAACCTTCAACTTCATTGAGTTATCTGCATATTTCCATAGTGATGAGCTATCTTATCGAGCTTCATTGATAGGGAACCTTCAGTGAGTGATCCTTTCATCTTTTCTCCGCTATTGATTACGTATAGGTTTGTAGTTATTCATTAATCAGACTTAGTTGTACTATTAGACAACTCGATGAGAGTTGAACTCGTAGGCGTAAAGAGTTGATTGATGTTATAGGCATACTTTGTCAATGCACTTAATCACTATTATTTGGTGTTTGCTCTGATATCATATTATTAATTTATTCCATAAATGAAGTACAATCATAGTAGGACTTTAATATATTTTAACTTCTTTTTTTAATCCTCAATGTGGTCAATAACAATAAATGACCTGTTCTTTTTGAGACTCTTTTCCTCACAACTTCAATGATGTTAAGGGGAGCAGGTGATAAATTTTGCTCGACTTTGCGAGACAAACTCATGGGAGTACAATAATAGATTAGGTTGTCTTGGATGCGGTTGTTTTACATTAAGGCAAACTTGGGATTGCCTTAAAAATTGATGTGTTGTTGAAGCACTCAACACATCGGGTTCGATAAAGGCAACATTTTTTCACTTTTTTTTGTTTATTTTCTTGTAGTTGCATCTTTTCTCTTTTTTAATTTATTTATATGTTTATGATTGCTAATCTATTTCTTTAGAAATAAAAAAAATGCGCTCATCTTCTCTTAAAATGCCTTGTTCTAAAAGATGTATCAAACAATGACCTTAGGAGATGCTTATTGCTTGTGCTCATAACATTCTATGAATGAGGTGGGTAGACCTTTTGTGTGTGCAGACCTTTCTCTTTCGACGACAGGGATTGTGGAGACACAAGGATATGAGACTCTTGCTTGAGATTTTTGCGATTATGACGATGCTTCTGTTTTCTTTTGTTTTTTAGACTCAAATGTTATGATTTTGGGATTTCATTTGTTAGGAGATGGAGTTTCTTATATGGTGCTTTTGTTCATTCGTAGTAACATCAAAGGTTGTCCTTGATTTCCTTTAAGGAGAGAAGACCAAGCAAATTTCACTTGGCAAATGTTAAAGAAAGTTTACAGAGAGCAATGAAATTGTTAGAGCTGACGATGGCGGATTTACTTATAACATCTTGGCACCAAGAAGTGATATGTATTAACATCATCAAAATTATTCTCGTTAAATTTCGACCACATTTGTTAACTGTTTTATTTTGGTGAAATATTGAAAATATTTTATTGATTCCTTTTTTTTCCGTTCTTTATTCTCTCAATGTGATTAGAATGAAACTCTTTGTTAAATGAAACATATTCTCTATTTATAGGTTATCACTTTTAATATTGAAGGACTCAACAACTTCTTTGCAAGCATCTGTCTTGTTTTGTTTCAACCCTGCTTCTATATTCTACTCATCAATGTAAGATTTTTAAACATGTGAAATTTTATAGTATTAAAACTCTAAAACTGGCATCTATAATCATAACAAGTTTTTTGTTGGCAGATATTCAGAGAGCCTTTATGCGTTATTTTCAATTTGGGGTATATTCTATTTATTTTCTGGTTCGAATGCTATGGCCATGCTCCTCCTTGCTGTGTCTGGTGCAGCTAGGTCAAATGGAGCCATTAATGCTGGATATTTTTGCTTTAAGGCATTGCTTCAAACCTATGATGCCATCACCTATAAAAGAAGCATCAGAGTATGTAGCCAATCCAACTACCTCCCTTTCTTTTATGTTGAATATAGAAACATAAATGAAGTGTAACATTCACTAAGACATCCTCATGATAATGCATACATAATTTTAACGTGCATCTTCGTTAAGGTAGGTTTTAGATTCACAATACAACAAATGATGAGAAATATGTGGATGCTTACATTGGTGATTAGTATATTAACATTCTATTGTGCAATGTCAACATCTTTATTGCAGTATAATCAATGAAAAAATTAAGATTTCAAGTGTGAGGGGACAAAAAAATTTTTCCAAAATTTATTGGAACAAAATTTCTATAAATTATATGATTGCAGTAAAATGGTGATACTTTCATATGATGCATAGCCTTGTTTGTTTTGCTCAAACCCCTTGGTTCCTGTTACGCCCCGCCCATAACAGACCCGAATGTAACAAGATCGGTCCATCTTAGACCTGGCGAATGCCCCCCAACCTGCCCACCTGGCCGGTCTGTAGTAATCACATACTCAAGGAGGAGAAATTAGTGGAGTTTGGAGGGAAAGTTGGAAGGAAAGTTTTGAATTGCTGTGGGATGATTCTATTAAATGGAGTAACCTAGGGTTTGCCTTTTTTATACATGTTTTTTGGGCTGATGTGTTCTTTCTTCTTCTTGTGGTGTTCCTTGCAATGTAGAGGGTTGTGGGAGGGTCGATCTACCTCTCGAATAATAGATCACCCCTATATCTTGTTTTTCTTCATCTCCCGTAAGAGCTACTCTCATTTGATTTTTCCACTTATCTATTTTAGTTTCGTCGTTGTTTGCTCACGGATTTTGGCCCCGAGGCGTATCAATTTGGTATCAGAACCTAGATCTTGGTGAGACGGCAGTAAAGAAAGTGAGCGTGCTAGAAGGAGAGGTGGTACAAATTAGATCGGGAATGGAAGAGAGGTTCGCCACCATGGAGGACATATTTTCTTCCATTGAAAGTCAAATAGAGGATGGATTCGAGAGCATAAGGGAAATGCAGGAGATGATGAAAAAGCTCATGGAGATGCAATCTAAGTTTGTGCCGATCGCTCCAGTTGCAAACCCTAACCAAGGGTTGATCAGGGAATCCTTGGTTAGGTCAAAAGGGAAGGAGATCGAACGAGACGACAACTAGGAAGACATAATTTACCAACATGAGTGTCCCCCTAATCCTCCGAGAGGTGGGGGAGTGGAGACTTCCAATGGAGGTGGGTGTGCCGAAAATTGGAGTGATGGGGTAAAGGGCACGGAAGGGTACGATTGAGGAAGAAAGGAATGCTTATGACCGGAGGAAGGAGTTCCACCCTAGATACATGGGGGGAAATACTAGACGAAGAGCAGGTTGGTGTGGATATACAAGAGTCAGAAAAATTAAGATGCAAATCTTTGAAGGGGATGATGCACATAGGTGGGTTTGTCGGGTGGAACGATACTTTGTAATTAATGGGTTAACTGAGGAAGAGAAGCACATGGCGGCGGGATTATGCTTTAAGGGAAAGACTTTAGCTTGGTTTCAGTGGATGGAGTCTAGTTATTCGATGCACTCATGGGAGGAGTTTAAGGATTGCTTGTTGGAGCGTTTCCGAGCCATTTGGGAAGGAGACCTACACAAACAATTCTATGCTCTGACTCAGGAGGGTTATGAAATACCGGGAGAATTTTAAGCTCTTGTCAGAATGGTTGAGGGGGATTTTTGCAGTAAGGCTGTAAATGAACTTCTTGAAAGACCAAAAGCCCGACATACGAGCAACCATTCACCCCTTGAGACAACGAGGATTGAAGGAAGTGATGGAGCTCGCCTAGCTGATGGAGGATATGAAATAGGTGAAAAGAACCAACAAATGCGGTAACACCAGAGGATTCTATAAAAGCACTGTGATAATCACGACACTAAGGACCCAAACTGTATCTTTTTCGAGAGAAACGTCCAAGGAGAAGAATACGGGACCCATTATGGATGTAATTTCAAGCGTCTCACAGAAGGAGAAGTGCGGTATAAAAGAGCAAAATGATTATGTTAACGCTGTGATGAGAAATACGCCCCAGACCATTGTTGCAAGGGGCACGCCCTTTAGATTCTTTTAGTGCAGGAGGAGGATATGTAAAGCGAGGAATCAGAGGAGAACTTAGTGGAGGAGCATCTGCATTTGGATGTGGCGGATGTGTCCGTAAATTTGGTGGTGGGATTTACCCCAAATCACATCAAGAAGGTGAGGGGATGGATTGGCGAACAGCTAGTTGTGGTGCTGGTAGATAGCGGGCCCACACATAAATTCATCTCAAATCAGGCCATGAAGAAGCTACAGTTGGAGCTGATGGGACAGGGAAGGTGGAGAAAGTCAAGGAATTTGCAAGGGGTTGGTTTTGACACTCCACGACCTACAGGTGGTGGAGGACTTCCTTCCCTTAGATTTGGGTGACACAGATGTAATTTTGGAGATGAAGTGGTTGCGAACGCTTGGGGAGATGAAGATGGATTGGAAGTCTCTGACAAGGAGAAGTTAGTTTATACAAAATAATGGCGTCGCTCAAAACCGTGATCAAGTCGATTCAAGGAGGGCTGGGATACCTGGTAGAGTTGTAGAGCATTGAGGAGATTCGAGATTTAGAGTTGGCAGAGTTTTCTGAAGGGGTCCAACATCTACTACAGTAGTTTGCGGATGTCTTCCAACATCAAAGCAGTTTTACTCCCCCAAGGGAGAACAAACATACTATTACCTTAAAGGAGGGTGTTTCCCCCATCAACATCAGATCATACAGGTGCCCTCAGATTCAGAAAGATGAGATAGAGAAGTTGATGCAAGAGATGCTCGTGGTCGGGATTATCAGATCTAGTGTGGGCCCTTTTTTCAGTCTGGTCCTGTTGGCAAAAAAAAAAGACGGTAGTTGGCGATTCTGGTTGGACTATCGGGCTTTGAACAAAGATATGGTGTTGGATAAGTTTTTGATTTCTTTGATTGATGAGTTATTGGTTGAGCTTTATGGGGTAGTCTTTTTTTAAAAAAATGATCTTAAGTCTAAATAACACCAGATCAGGATGGATCCAACAGATGTGCAGAAGACAATGTTCAGGATACATGAAGGGCATTATGAGTTCTCAGTGATGTCGTTTGGCGGCGACATTTTAGTCCATCATGAATAGGGATTTTCAACATTATCTCTGGAAATTTGTCCTGATTTTCTTTGATCACATTCTGGTCTACTGTCGTATATTTGGGGCACCTAAAGACAATCTTGAAGATTTTGAGGGAAGACCAGTTGTATGCCAACTTGAAGAAATGTTCTTTTGCACAGTTGCAGGTGGAGTACCTAGGGCATGTGGTGACCAAAACAGGGTTAGCAGTGGATTAATCCAAGATCGAGGCTATGGTTGGTTGGCCTTTACCAAAAATTTTTAAAGAGTTGAGAAGATTCTTGCTCACCGACTATTATCAGAAGTTCGTGAGAAGATATGACACAATAGTATGGACACTGACAGAACAGTTGAAGAAAGACAATTTCAAATGAGGGAAGCAACAACACATGCATTTGAACATCTGAAGCCATGACCAGTGTACCGGTATTAGCACTTTTAGATTTTAGTAAATCATTTGTGGTGGAGAGGAATGAGTCAAGGTACAGATTGGGACTAGTGCTCATGCAAGATCAGTGACTGATTGTCTACTTCAGCCAGGTTCTTACGGCCAGAGCGAGGCTAAAGTTAGTATGTGAACAAGAATTGATGGCAATTGTCTTGGCCTTTCAGAAGTGGCGACTCTACTTGTTGGGACAACATTTTTTGGTCAGAACAAATCAAAGGAGTTTAAAGTACCTCCGGGAGCAGCGGAAGGTGACTGAGGAGCATCAGAGATGACTATCCAAGGTACAGGGGTATGATTTTGAGATTCAGTACCGACCCGAATTGGCGAACAAGCTGGCGTACTATCGAGAAAGGTGGAGGAACCCCAATTGACGGTCCTATCGGTACCCTTGGTCCTAGATTGGGAAGCCTTGGACAGGAAAACAAAGGGGATGACGAGCTGAGAAAGATAAAAGCCGAGATGCTACATGATCCGAACAGCCATCCAGGATATACATTGAGGGGACAACAACTACTCTACTAGGGGCGATTTGTGCTACCAAAGTCGTCAGAGTATATTCGCAGATTATTACAGGAGTTTCATGACTGTGTGATCGGGGGACACTCAGGGGTGCAAAAAACCAACAGTTGACTGGCGACAGAGCTTTAATGGGTGGGAATGCATAGAGACGTTAAGGATATGATGGCAAAATGCGACGTATGTTAGCAACACAAGTACTTGACCGCAGCACCAGGAAGTTTACTACAGCCATTGGCATTACCGGAGAATGTTTGGGAAGAAGTGACGATGGATATTATTGAGGGATTGCCACAGTCATAAGGGTTCACTATGATCATGGTGGTCGTGGATCGCTTGAGTAAGTATGCACATTTCATTCTTTTACGACATCTCTAAATTGCGGTCTTAGTTGCGATAGTGTTTATCCAATCGTTGTACCAGAATCAATAATATCGGGTAAGGACAAGGTGTTCTCAACCACTTCTGGAAAGAGTTATTCAGGTTGCAAATGACAGTCCTTAAGAGGAACACCACATATCATCCTCAGATCGATGAGCTGATGGAGGGAGCCAACAAGAGTGTGGAGACATATCTGCGTTATTTTGTATCTAATACGTCGAAACAATGGGCCAAGTGGATTGTGCAGGCCGAGTATTTTTATAATCCTTTGTATCAAACTGCAACACATACCATCTCTTTCAAGATATTAAATGGATGAGATCCACCTCACTTGATACATTATGGGCATATACATTGATCTCCAATATCAATTAGTACTCGGAGAAGAGGGATAGGATACTAGCAGAGTTAAAAGGGCATTTACTGACAACTCAACAAATCATGAAGAGGAAAACGACTGAACACGGGAGAGGTGCAGTGTGAACCAGTAAACATGGTCTACCTGAAGTTGAGCGCTTATCGACAAAAGACGTTGGCTAGGAGGAGAAGCAACAAAATTTAACTGCGATACTTTGGACCATATTAGGTGATGGAATACATCGGGGCAGTGGCTTATCATTTGAAATTACCACCATCGTTCACACTACACCTGGTCTTCCATGCATCACAACTAAGACGTGCGATTGAAAATCATACACCCTCGTCTACACTACCGTGAACGCTGATGGAGGACTTGGAGGTGATTCTGGAGCCGCTAGAGATTGAAGGAGTGCGCCAAGCAATAGGGGGAGCGAAAGAGGTATTAGTTAAGTGGAAATGACCGCCAAACTATGAAGCAACACAAGAGCCTTTTGGGGTGATCCACAAGCAGTTTTCATCCTTCCGCCTTGAGAAGAAGGTACTTCTTTGAGAGAGGAGTATTGTTACATCCATGCCCATAACAGACTCGGGCGTAACAAAACCGGTCCATCCTGGATAGGTCGAATGCCCCTCAACCGAGCCGCCTGGCCGGTCAGCGTCGTTAGAAAAGGCCGAGCGGTAATCTGTCGCAGCTAAAGAAGGCAGGGAGCAGGAGGGGTCCACAAGGGCTTTAATCACATGCTCGAGGAGAAATTAGAGGATTTTGGAGGGAAAGTTTTGAATTGCTATGGAAGAATTCTATTAAAGGGAGTAACCTAGGGGTTGTCTTTTTTATGCATGTTTTTTGGGCTGCTGTGTTCTTTCTTCTTCTTGTGGTGTTTCTAGCGACATCTAAGGTCGTGGGAGGGCTGGTCTACCTCTCGAATAGTAGATCACCCTTGTATCTTGCTTGTTTTCCTTTGTTTTTTGTTAGAGCAACCCTCGTTTGATTTTTTCACCTATCTATTTCTTTTTCGCTAATTTTGATTGTGGGGCGTATCAGTTCTTTTGTTGAGTGTACTATTTTCAATGTTTTAACTTTGTAATTTTATTTACATGTTTGTAATGCGTGTAATTAAGATTACAGTTGATGCCAACTTTTGAAGCACAATGATCATTTCATCAACTAAAGAAACAAGTTAAAACATGATCCACAACTGGCTGTACTGAAGATTTTTTAAACGATTTTAAGGTGAGGATGATCTAGTGCATTCGTTCTAACGTGATGGGGAGAGTCCCAATTAAATAATTGGTTGAGTTTCCTTGGTATAGGTTTAAAATTGATTCTATTTTGATACTTATTAATAATATATACTTATCCAAATTATGTTTAAAATTGGAAAGCCATTCGTATTCTGCTGTCTTTTTTTTTTTTTTTTAATCCCATCATCCTTCACAATTGAAAAGTTCAAATGTTTTGCCTTAAAATTCTTATGGTCAGACACCTGATTGAGGATGCCTTTGTCAGCAGACACTTCATGATTGAATCTTTCTTTCAAACTTACTTATCTTAAAAATTCATTTATGAATGTCCTCCTGGATCAGAGCAAGTACAATTGAACATTTAAGAAGTTCATAGCTTATCAAGTAGTATAAGAATGCAGGTTTAAATTGTAACATATTAAGTCATCAAGACTCAAAAGCAAAGTTCAACACGTCCAACCTAATTTAAGTGTTTATATCTAACAACATTGATTTGTTGCTTAACTAGAAATGCGTGTACCTAAACTTATTTGTAAGTATTGGGGAGAGCTAAAATTTTAAGAGTTTATAGATGTGCCACTGCACATCTTATGGAAATATCTACGCTCCACAATCTTTGTTCTGTTGCTTGGGTACTTGGCTTAGTGGATCCCTTAAGATTATTTTCTGCTTTGGTTATTTCATGGGGCTGTAATCATCACAATCAAGAAAGGTGCATCTGCAATCACGGCACCAATTTCTCCTTTCCTATTTTAAATTGGTGCATGCCCTTTCTCCATGTTAATTGATAAATCTGAACTTAAAGTTTGCCTAGATTTCTTCTTTAGAGATGTTTTCAGTCTAAAAGCATGACTCCATTTTTCCCATGTATATCCTATATTTAAACTAGACATAGTTTCACCGGTGAACAAGTGATCCCTGAATGAGGTAAACAACAGTACATTGAGAGCCAACAAGCAATGTTTAAACTAACTATTTTTTCATTTCATTTTTAGAGCTATTTTTTATTGCAGTGCATCTCCTCTTACAAAAACTACTCTGTTTGAAATTGCACGATACTTTGACTTACTAAAAATCATAAATAATGTGTTTTTTATTCCAACCAATTCTCTTTCTTTTTTTCTAATCATTTATGTTTGTCGTTTAGCTTGGTCTGCAGGCTATTGTTAATGGAGCTGTTTGCTCAGTTTGTCTGTTAGTTCCATTTGCTGCTTTCCAAGCTTATGGATACTACAATATATGCTTTCATGGTGCTTCAGATGGGTTGAGACCATGGTGTAGCTCGAGAGTACCTAATTTGTATGGTTATCTTCAAAGTCACTACTGGTACGTACTTTAAGTTTTGCACATTCTTAACTATATTTGGCATTTGTTTTGTTTTTCAAATTACTAGCACTTTTTAACAACTATTATTACATGTTTCTTCACTAATATAGCTTGGGAGGTTTATAAATTTAAAGAGCGAAATTATGTAAGTAGGGAAGATTGTAATGCTCGGTTTTAATCTGTTTGTAACGCTAGCAGGTAAAAGAAATAGAGAATGAGGTGGTTCAATTTGTTCTTTTTAGAGGAGTTTGGAAGAGACGAATGCAAGCGGCATAGGTTTGAGGCTCGAACCAAACACATGAGGGTATTCGTCTAGCTAGCTAAAGCATCAACCGAACAAAGACAAGTGCGACGACGACTTTGGCCACAAACGTGCGCATACCCAATGGTTGCAATCGCGTGCTATCAGCGTGTACGATGGCGACGAAGCAAGCTGGAGTAGTGATAGGCTAATATAGGTGGTTCTGAGAAGGGAAAAATAGGGAGCCATGAAAGGGAACATGAAGCAGATGGGATCGCATGTAGAGTCAAGAGCAGAACGTGAGTGATCAACTCATGCGTGTTGTCTCCGGGTTTTGGAGTGCCGATTTGAGCGGGAGTTATAGGAGCAAGTTTTAGTGGGAGATTCAGAAAGTGAGCATGTGGTAGAGCTCGAGCAACGACATATGTAGGTTAATCAAAGTGTGGATTGGCTATGCGAAGGTTAAGGTGTCCCTCTTTATAATATAGTGTCTTCATATCGTATTTTTGAATTGTATAAGATTTGAATTTTAATTTGATTAAATTATATTGAAGTTTTATTAGAGTTAGATAATAAAAATAATAATAATGATGATAATACTTATTAAAATTAATTTTTTTAGAAGTTAATGTTTGTATCTTTAAAAAAATCAATTGATGAATTCTAATTATGATAATAAAATAATTTATTTAAATGAGAGAAATTTAGGATTTGAAATGGCTAATGAGTGAGATAAGAATAATTAAGGAAGTGTTCCATGTTAAATTGATGTAAAATATTTGAATAATTGAGATCAAAATTTCACTAAAAATAGATATTAGTAATTTAAATAAAGAATACTCAGTAAAGAAAAGTTCAATATTATCTTGAGATGATCAATACCAAATTGTGAGCATCTAATTAAATAATAATGTTAATTATGATCTATAGATATATGTATGTATGTATGTATGTATCTATGTATATATACTTTGTTATGGAAAAGTTAATTTAATGAAAAAATGATATTTAATAATAGAATAATAATAATAATAATAACTAACATTCATATTTTATATGAATAATTAGGTGCTCGTTTAAAAGAAGTTAAAGCGGAAAAAAATAAACAAGCCATCTGAGATCGAGGTGACTACTCTTATTTTTAATCTATGATATTATTTTATTTCTTCTAAACTAATTACGTTGGTAATTATGACATTTATTAAATTCAATTGCACAATTTTATTCTTATTTATTTACTCTTTTATTTATTGATCATATTATTATGAAAGTTATATGTAGGGCTGTAAACGAGTCGAGCTTGAGCGAGCTCAGGTTTGGCTCGTGTTCTGCTCGTTCGAAATAGCTCGTGTTCGAAATCAGCTCGTGTTCAAAATCGGCCCGTGAATAGTGTGTTCGGGTTCGGTTCGATTTAAATATTCGTGTTCGTGTTCGGCTCGAAATTGACTCGTTAAACTTAAATTGAGAAAAATAGATGTAAAATGTGGGATTCGAACCTGGATCAAATATATACAAAAGAAGACACTAACCACATTGTCACATGAGGTGTTATGATTTAAACTTAGACATAAATATATATAATATATTATTATATAAATAATATATGTAATATATTGTTATATAAA